ACAGTAGTTTTAAAACTATCAAATACACTGTGATTTCCTTTCTGCTTTGCTTCTTTTTTTGTATGTGTCTAAAACTCAAAATCTGTATTTCCAGATGTATAATTTGACTTGTATTGTGCTGTCTAACAGATAATGCTAATTCAGTGTGCCTAAAATGGACTCCATTCTTTTTGCAAGTACTTGCTCTCACAAATAGTGCCCCATTCCTTCTCTCCCTGTTTTTCTTTCTGTATTCTTTTCGTTATTGTCTTTTAGTCACCCAAGTTAGAAACCTGAGTCATCTTGCTTCTTCTCTTTCCCTTATCAATTCAGTTTTATTTGGTGAATCTTACTGAGATTACTTCAGATATGATTTTTTTTTTTTTTTTTTTTTTTTAAGATTTTACTTATTTGCGAGAGAGAGAATGAGAGACAGAGAGCATGAGAGGGAGGAGGGTCAGAGGGAGAAGCAGACTCCCTGCTGAGCAGGGAGCCTGATGTGGGGCTCGATCCCGGGACTCCAGGATCATGACCTGAGCCGAAGGCAGTCGTTTAACCAACTGAGCCACCCAGGTGCCCTCAGATATGATTTTTAAGATTTTATTTCTACTAATACCAGCCTAGTTATGGTACTCATTTTGTTTGCTTTGTCTTAGTTTCCTTGTCTTTAAAATTCTTCTGGCCCCGCATTGTCCTCTCCCGTTCATTCTGTATACCAGACTGATTTATCTTCAGAAATGAAAATCTGTTCATCAATATGGTAACAATTTGGCCCCCTTCATAATAATTCAGTTCCCCAGGATAGGTACTGTTCAGATTCTCTTCCTGTGGCAAGAAGCAGGTTGCATCACAGCTCTGACTCTCCTCTTAGAAATGTACTTTTCCTTCATGGGAGAGGTTTTTTCTGATTGTCTCTGCTACTGTCATGCTAGTCTTGGTAGGGGTCCTGCTTGGCCCTGCAGCCCAAATGTAGAGATAGAATCCTTGTTTAATTCTACCCAGCATAGTTGAAACCAGGTTGTGACTTTTAAAGATTTTTTAAGCAATCTCTATTTCCAATGTGGAGCTCGAATTTACGACCCTGAGATCAAGAGTTACATGCTCTACTGACTGACCAAGTCAGGTGCCCCCCAGGTTGTAACTTTTAAACAAGACTTTATTAAAAGTTGAGTATAGTAGGAGGGAATTAGAAAACCAACACAATAGTCCACCCCCCGCCCCAAATCTGTGGTTTTGCTTTCTGTGGTTTCAGTTACCCAAGGTCAACCGCAGTCCATCCGGAAGCAGATGGTCCTCCTTCTGATGTATTGTCAGAAGGTCAGTAGTAGCTTAACGCTGTGTTACAGTGCCTAGGTTGTTCACCTCATTTCATCTCATCACATAGGCATTTTATCATCTCATGTCAACACAAGAAGGGTGAATACGGTACTATATTTTGAGAGAGAGACCACTTAACTTGTATTATAGTATAGTGCTATACTTGTTCTATTAATGGTGTAAGTCTCTTACTGTGCCTAATTTTTTTAAAAGATATTTATTTATTTATTTGACAGAGAGAGGGAACACAAGTAGGGGGAGTGGGAGAGGGAGGAGCAGGCTTCCCGCCAAGGAGAGCCTGATGTGGGGCTCAGTCCCAGGACCCTGGGACCATGACCCAAGCCGAAGGCAGATGCTTAATGACTGAGCGACCCAGGCGCCCCTTACTGTGCCTAATTTATACATTCGACTTTATCATATGTATGTATAGTTGGTCCTTGAACAATATTGGGGTTAGGGGCACCGGTCCCCCCACAGTCAAAAATCTGCCTATAGCTTTTTAAAAATATTTTATTAATTTATTTTTAAAAGATTTTATTTATTTATTTGACAGAAAGTAAGAGAGAGAGCAAGAGAAAGCATAAGCAGGGGGAATAGCAGAGGGAGAGGGAGTAGCAGGCTCCCACTGAGCAGAGAGCCCAGTGCAGGGCTCAATCCCAGGACCCTGGGATCATGACCTGAGCCGAAGGCAGATGCTTAACCGACTGAGCCACCCAGGTGACCCTTATTTATTTTTAAATAATCTCTTCACCCAGTGTGGGGCTTGAACTCACAACCCCAAGATCAAGAGTCTCATGCTTTTCTGACTGAGCCAGCCAGGCACCCCTGCCTATAACTTTTGACTCCCCTAAAACTTAATTACTAATACCCTACTGTTGACTGGAAGCCTTAGTGATAACATAAACAGTTGATTAACACATATTTTGTATGGTATATGTGTTATGTATTATATAGTTAACAATAAACCTAGAGAAAAAAATAACGTGTGTGTGTATATATATATATTTTTTAGAGAGAGTCTGCAAGAGGTGGGGGGAGGGGTGGCAAGAGGGGCAGAGGGAGAAGGAGAGAATCTTAACATTGTTTTTCAGAGAGCAGAAATTGAGATTGAGGCTGGTGAACATACACATATACAGACACAAATTTGATTTATGGGAATCAGCAGATAGATAACAGCAGGGGACCCAAGGAGAAAACATATCATGGTGTATTCGTTTTTAATTAGCAATATACCTCAGAATCCCCTGAGGGAATTCTATCCCTGCTCCTTTACAGTACACAAATGTCTAGTCCCTATCTGTCCCAGACCTTCTGAAATAGATTAGGTGGAGGATTGCAGAGTAGGAACCACTATCATTGTAGGTTTTGGCCTTGGTTCTTACCATTAACATGGTTTTTGTTTCCTTACAGATAAAATAGAAATAAAGGTCTGTCTAACTTAGTAGGTTTCAGTAGGTTACTGCACAAGAAATATTAGCATACACTAGGTGGTGATTTCTAGAAGCAAAGGGGAGAGATTGGGTAGTGTCATGGAAGCCTTGGAAGTCATTGTTGGGAAGTGAATGTGAACATTACTTTTTTCTTGCCTTCCATTCTGTGTGACACTTGAATTATTTAAGAAGCAAATGTTTGCTCCAATTATTCCTTTCATTCAGCCCTTTTGTTCCCCTGAAATTGACTATGATGTTTTCTTTTCTTGAATTCCATTATATCATAGTAAGTTTCTTTTTTATATGATCTTCACATAGTTTTTCATAGAATTTATGTCAGAGTTGAAATATTTCTTTAAAGATAGTTACAGAAAATATGCATGCTTACTGTCCTTCAGTTTTTCTTCATGTTTGATGTCTTAACATGTAAGAGAAGTAGATATTTTCCTCACTAATTTTTGTATATGGAAAATAAATTTTAATGAAACAATATCTGATCATTATGAAGAAAAAAAAAGGGTGTCGTATCTAGTAACAAAGGAAGATTTATTTTATTTGTTTAATTGTCATTTGTTGGAAGAAAAGAATACAGAAAGACCCCAAAATAGTTATTTTCAGGGTTGTTGTAAGTGATAAGTTATATAGAAAAAAAGCTGCTTGTTTTGTGTGAGGAGTATAACTCTGCATTTAAGAGGTTTCTAGTTGGTTACTACCTTTTTAAAACCTTTGTTACGGAAATTTAAACTGTAAATGTAGAACAAATAGTTCAACTAATCGTCATGTATTTGTTATTTGTCTTCTTTAACAGTCATCAACTTTCTGCCTTTTATTTTTTTATCTCACATGTTTTTCCCTGTAATATTTTAAAGCAAATTGTAGACATATTTCATTTCACCTATTAATACTCAAAGCATGAATCTCTAACAAATGCTGTCTCTTTTTAAAAAAAATCATACTGTTACCACACTGAACAAAATCAACATGATTCCTTAATGTCACCTAATATTTGTACAACTTTGTTTCACAAAGTTAGTAGCTAAAACAAGGTTTGTGGGTTATGTCTTTTAAGCCTCTTTTAATCAGTAAATCTCCCCATTTTAAACACTGCCATTTATTTTTAGAAGACACTGGATGATTTGTTTTGCAGCATTTCCCACATCCTGGGCTTTGCTGCTTATATTCTAGTGTCATTGAACATGTTCCTCTATTCTTCATGTTTCTTGTAACTTGTAGAAGTGTGATTAGATTCAGGTTCAATTTTTTTTTGAAAGAATTCTTCATAGGTGGTGCTGTGTTCTTCCTGTGATACCACTAGTGAATCATGTTCGTCCTTGTTCAGGTGATGTCAGCTTAATCTGTATATTTAAAAGTTCCTGTTCAGTTTTTTTTTTAAAGATTATTTATTTGAGAGAAGGAGATAGAGTGTGCAAGAGTGTGAGTGAGCGGGGGAGGGGCAGAGGCAGAGGGAGAGAATTTTTTTTTTAAGATTTTACTTACTTATTTTTCAGAGAAAGCGAGCACAAGAGCACGCATACAAGCAGGGGGAGCAGCAGGCAGAGGGAGAAGCAGTCTCCCCACTGAGCAGGGAGCCCAGTGGGGGACTTGATCCCAGGACTCTGGGATCATGACCTGAGCTGAAAGCAGACACCTAACCAACTGAGCCACCCAGACTTCCCAGGAGAATCTTTTTTTTTTTTTTTTTTAAGATTTTATTTATTTATCTTAGATGGATAGATAGAGCATAAGCAGGGGGAACAGCAGAGGGAGAGGGAGAAGCAGACTTTCTGCTGAGCAGGGAGCCCAATGTGGGGCTCGATCCCAGCACCCTGGGATCATGACCTGAGTTGAAGGCAGACGCTTAACTGACTGAGCCACCTAAGGCCCCCTGCCCCGCAGGAGAGAGAATCTTAAGCAGACTCCATGGTGAGCATGGAGCCTGATGTAGGGCCTAATCTCACATCCCTGAGATTAGGACCTGAGCCGAAACCAAGAGTCGGACGCTTAACCTACTGAGTTATACAGGTGCCCCTCCCCTTCAGTTTTTTACCTGAGTGGTTTTAGCATTCATTGGTAGTTATTTCTTTTTTTTTTTTTTAAGATTATATTCCCTAAGTAACCTCTATATCCCGTGTGGGGTTTGAACCCACAACCCTGAGATCAAGAGTCGCAGGCTCCACTGAGTGAGCCAGCCATGCACCCCGATAATTATTTCTTGATTCACTATTTTATTAGGTATTATAAAATGATGGTTTCTTAAATCTTTTATTTTTCCAGTGTCTGTTATGATTATTTTGTAGAGAGCTTTCCCTTATCAACGAACAGTTGCCTTGAAATATGTTAATACAACATAAAGACAAGACAGATGGAAAAAAAGGTAAATGCTTGATTCTTTTGTCATTTTTTTTTTTTAAAGATTTTATTTATTTATTTGACAGAGAAAGACACAGCGAGAGAGGGAACACAAACGGGGAGTGGGAGAGGGAGAAGCAGACTCCCTGCCGAGCAGGGAGCCCGATGCGGGACTCGATCCCGGGACTCCAGGATCATGACCTGAGCCGAAGGCAGTCGCTTAACCAACTGAGCCACCCAGGCGCCCTCTTTTGTCATTTTTTTTAAAGATTTTATTTATTTGAGAGAGAGTGAGAGATCATGAGCAGTGGGGAGGGGCAGTGGGAGAAGCAGACTCCCTGCTGAGCAGGGATCCTGATGTTGGGCTCGATCCCGGGATCCTGAGCCAATAAACCCCGACTGAGCCACCCAGGTGCCCCCTCTTTTGTCATTTTTAAGAATGAGTTGAAGACTTGGAGGCTTCCACAAATGACCAATGAGGATTGTTTTTTGGAGTAAGGGGAATAAAGGTGGTATCATGATAAATCATTACAAATAGATTTTTATATTTATTGTATGTCAGTCTATTATGCCATGTTTGGTGGGTAAAAGCCTCTTTACGTTAGCTCTTGAGTCATTTTGTCATGACTCCAGTAGTCTTTGATAACTTCCTTGTTTTCTGGTGCAGGATGAATCAGGCTCATCAGTATAATTCCTACTCCAGACCTGAAATCAGCCATTTTTCCCAGAAGGTCTGGTTCCTTTTAGTGGGAAATGGTATTTAGAGACCCTAACACTTGATCACTTTTTAAAGTCGTATCATCTTAAATTTTAGATTTAGAAGGGTTCTTTGAAATTTCTACCCGGTGTAGGAATCTGTGTCCTCTAAGTGTTTTTCACATTCATAATTAGATTCATTTGAAGACCATTTAAAAAGGTTAAATGACAAAGACTCTCATGTTGAGTATCATCTCTACTTTATGTTACTTAGAAATCTAAAATGAAACTAATAAAAGTTAAAAATAAGCTATTCATGGCAAAAGTAATTAACTGTCAGAAATCTCTGACTTTGTTTCTAGAAGCTATAATTCACACTGAGGATGTAACTGCCAAGAATCATGTATCAAAAAATCTTGTATGGGCAGATACAAAACAAAAGTTTTAACAGTTTAGAGGAACTGAAGTTCAGTTGAACTTGGTACACTTCTAGAAAAACATTATCATCTTTCACACTTTCATGGAACATTTATGGAATTTAATCATAATTGACACATAATTCATACTTCCAGAAAAAATGTAGATTTTAAAACCTTAAAATTTAGAGACTGCATTCTTGACCACAATGCAATAAAGCTGAAATGAGTAAAGTCAATTAAAACAACCCAACCATTTGGAAATTTTAGAACTTGTAAATAATTTTTGGGTTAAACAAGTTGAAGCTGACTTTAATTACAAACTGTTGAGAATATAACAGTGAGTATGTCAGTTATACCTCAATAATCATAGTAAGAGAATGTAACAGAGCAAACCATATCACAACTTGGAATGTGAGCAGGCTATAAAGAATATATTTTGTATTAAGTGCTTTAACGTTAAAAAGAAAAGAATTGCTATTTAACTGTATGTGTTAGAACAATGAGGAAAGCACAAGGGAATTAATAAAGTTGAAAATAAAGTGTGGGAAAAAATGAATTAAGTAGAAAATGTATGGACTGATAAAACTAGGAGCTGATTCCTTGTGAAGTGACCAATAGAGTAAACAAGTTACTGACAAGTCTAATTGAGGAAAAGAAAGGAAAACAAATAGTGTTAAGGAGAAGAAAAGCTATAATAACCATAAATAGTTGGGGGTAATATGTTGGACTTTTTGAGGTATAATTAACTCAGTCCTTTAGATGCAATGGAAGATTTTCTGAAATAAGTTACTAAAATTGATTCAAGAGGTAGAAAACCTGGAAAGGCCAATACCATTTAAGAAATGGCCATTAATGTCAAAGAACAGCCCAAGTTTGTAATTTTTCTTTATACCATTGAGGAATATCCATTTTCATGTTTTTAATAATATTTGCCAAAATAGAAAAGATCTTACATCAAGATGCTAATAAAGACCTTGATATATTTAATATTCATTTTCTGTTAATAAAGTCTCTTTTTATAAAACTAAGAATAGAGGGTCTTTCACATAATAAAACGTGTTAGAATCCAGCAGTCACCCTTGAAATTTAGGAAGGATGCCTGCTATTATCATAATTATTTATTACTGTTCCGGAAGTTCTAGGGCACAATATAGTTAGATGAGGAAAAGAAACGAGAGTTGTAAATCTTGGAAAATTGGAGAACAAAATTATGATTATTTTTTCTGATGATACATTTATTTTCCTGGCAATCTCAAGAGTATCAGTAGAAAATATTTTAGGGCTCAGAAGTAAAAATTCAAAAATGAAAGCAATCTGGCGGAGAAGAAGAAAAATGTACTAGGATTATAACGGGATAGTAAAATGTCTAGTTACAATATTAAAATATTTTTAAAAATCCTATAAAATTTAATAACTTTGACTATAAGTAGTTGGAAAATAAAAGACTGATTCACAAAGTAATACAAAACTAAATTCCTTGGGATAAAACTAATAAATATGAGACTTGACAAGAGTTTACCTAAGGACATGGTAATTAATAATAATAATAATAGTTACAACAACAACTAATCTTTATGAGCATTGTTTTAAGTACATGTCTTGACTCCAGAAAATGACTTTATAATACAATGTTATGCCTGAGGGTAACAGAGAGGTAAAGTACCTTGTCAAAGGTATATAGGTGCTAGAATAAGGGATAATGGGATTGGAACCCACTCAGGCTGTGTGACTCCAAACTCCAAAGAATCTGTAACCATTATGCTTTGATGGCTCCTAAAAAAAAATAAGTGATACGCCATATTCCTGGATCGGAAAATCCAATATAATAAAAATACACGTCCCATAACATTAATATTGTATCAGTCAGTAATCCAACAGGATTTTCTTTTTCTTTTTCTTTTTGATGGTGAGGAGGGTAGACTTTGAGAAAACTGATGAAGTTCATTAGGATTTATAACTATGTGAAAGCTAGCCAAAACAGTTTTGAATTAGAAGACTAATGGGAGGGGCTCCTGGGTGGCTCATTCGTTAAGCGTCTGCCTTTGGCTCAGGTCGTGATCCCAGGGTCCTGGGATCGAGCCCCGCATCGGGCTCCCTGCTCGGCGGTAGGCCTGCTTCTCCCTCTCCTGCTCCCCCTGCTTGTGTTCCTGCTCTCGCTGTCTCTCTCTCTGTCAAATAAATAAAATCTTAAAAAAAAAAAAAAGAAGAAGAATGGGAGAGTGGAGGAGTAGGGGAATGGTGGGTACCTTGTTCTACAGGATCTTGAATATAATACTGCTATAGGAATACTTAAATTATTACAAATAAAGAGATTCATGTCTGTATATAAGAATATATAGAATAAAGTTATTCTTTAAATTGTGTTTGGACAGTTTCCTGGTCATTTGGGCAAAAAATAAAGTTAAATCTTTTCCTCCAGATACCAAAAGAAATTTATAGGGATTGAATATATGGATATAAGAAAATGAAGCTATTCCCCAAAGCATGGGGCACCTGGGTGGCTCAGTTGATTAATTGACTGCCTTCGGCTCGGGACATGATCCCATGTCCCAGAGCCTGCTTCTCCCTCTCCTCTGCCTGCTGCTCCCCCTGCTTGTGTTCTCTCTCTCTCTGTCCAAATAAGTAAAATCTTCAAAAACAAAACAAAACAAAACAAAACAAAACCATTCCCCAAAGGAAATATAGGTAAATATAACAAACATCTTGATACGGGGAATGCCTTTTTGAGCATAAACCAAAAAAAGATAATTCAAAAGAATAATAGATTTGCCTACATTGAAAATATTGTCACATTTTTAAAGAGCAAATGTGTTTGAACTATCTGATGATCAGAAGTGACGTTTCAGAAGAATGGGGTACTGGGCAGATAACCACTTTAGGAGTCATTTTAGAATTCCTCAGGGCTCCACATCCCTAATTTCCATCCAGTCACAATTCATGCTTCCATTCAACAAATGTTTGAGTGTCTGTTATGTACAAGGAACCATTGTAGGAACTGAGGATACAGTAATGAATAAAATGGAGAGCATTTCTGTTCTTACAGAGTTTATATTCTGTTGATGGGAGAGAGATCTGTTAAATAATGAATGTAGAGCATTTAAAATGGAACACTACTATAGAGAAACATAAAGCAGAGAAAGACGATACATTGTGCTATGGTGGAAGGGGCATTGCCATTTTAAATAGGGTCATTTAAGCAGAAATCTGAAGGAAATGAGAAAGCCATCATGTGGGTATCTAAGAGTAGGCAAATCCCAGGTAGAGGTAACAACAAGGCTAATGGTTGTAAGGCAGGTGAATGCTGTGTATATTTATGATATAAAATACCAAAGAGGTGGTAGCTGAAGGTGGGTGAGCAAGGTAGTGAGTGGTAGGAGAGGCGATCAGGAAGATAACTAAATAGAGAGGGTCTTTTAAGCTGTTGTAGTGACTGTAGTGTACATTGTTGGATGTTTCACAGCATCCCTGGCCTCTACCCACTAGATGTCAGTGCAGCTCCCCAGTTGTGATAACCAAAAATACCTCCGGATATCACCAGATTTTCTAGATTTTGGGGGGCAGAATTGCCCCTGCTTGAAAGCCACTGTTGTACCTTATGGCTGTAGTCCCTTTTGGGAAGGCTTGGAGAAAGATTTATGGTGTGTACTTGTGGTAATGGTGCAGAGCCCTCCTTCAGGTGGACTCAGTCTCTCCTCCATCACAAGAGGCCGTGGGTCTGTGACTTGACCAGGTCTGGAAACTGGGCAAATGTCTGTGACTTTCACTGTGATGACTCAAAGCGGTTTTGGGCCACCAGATTTAGACATTTTCTGTTATATAGTTTAAACTGCCCATCTATTTCATTCCTAGGAACATCGTGATCAATTAGCCACTGCCAAAGATCCCTGCGGGCCAAAGCATTCTGATTGCC